TAAAAATAAAATATTTTGAACAGTGAGAGCAACATCTTTGAAATAATCACAGAACTTTCTAGGATTATTCCTTTGAAATTCCGTTCTATTTTGATTTTTAAAAGATCTCTCTCAATACTGTCGAGGTGAAAACGGGGGTTCAGGAAGAGGAGCCGACCCACGCTCGCGGCACAGGGGGCAGGAGCCAGGACAGAGCCGGGGCAGGAACCAGGGCAGAGCCAGGGATGAAGCGGCTTCGCTAGGGTCCCCGCGGCCCGGCCGCTTCTGGGGAGGGTTTCCAGTGTTTCTGTTTATATCTGTGCGTCTCTGGGTGTGTCTCCCTCTGGGTTGTGCACTGGCAGGCTCTAGGCGTGTCCCATCTGAGAGCAGCTCAGCCAGGAGGGTGTTTCATCGCTGCAGGGAAATTCCAGAGGGCAGCTCCTGCCACAGCTGCGGTGAGACGTTATTTCCTTGGGAGGAAACCGGTTCTCAGCAGCCAGGAAGAAACAGTTTCCACTCTGGGAGGGCGCGGGAGGGTGTGGCCGCAGGCGGGGCGAGCTGCCGCCGGGAGGACCTGCGGGCCGGCCTGGCTCTCTGAAGCCTCCAGTCACGGTTTAAATTTAGACCTTCTATTCTGGTCCGAGCTGCTCACGCCTCACCCCGTGGCCACCGGTCAGCCAGTTTCCCCGCGCACAAGTGCGCTCCCAGGGGCAGAACGCAAAGGGGGTCAACAGTGTCCTGACCATCGCCCTGTGGCGGTGTGGAATTGTGAAGTGGAGTGCAAGAAAGAGCAAAGCCAGAAGAATCCTCCACCCTAACAAATTTCAGAACCAGGAACCCCCCGTCCACGTGCCCCATTAACGTCACAGACGGAAACATGCTGGTCCCACAGCCATTTGTGGAGCCAGCCGCGTGAGCCACAGAGACGAGGTCCCCATTCACGGTCTGGTGGAAATTCAGACAAGAAGAAGGCTGATTAGTGAGCAGGAAAAGAGTGCACGTTACAGGCGACTTGAATCTATGCCTGGGGGCGGGGGGCGGGAGTGGGCCAAGCGCTTTGAATCCCAGCACTTTCGGAGGCTGAGGCGAGCAGCTTGCTCAAACCGGAGTTCAAGGCCAACCTAGGCAACATAGTGAGACCCAGTCTCGGAAAAGATACAAAAATGAGCCAGGTGTGGTGGCACACACCGTGGTGCCATCTACTACAGAGGCGGAGGTGGGAGAATCACTTGAGCTTGGGATCACGTGCCCCGCTGACTTCACAGACAGAAATATGCTTGTCCCACTGCAGCAAGCGGAGATTGTGCCACTGCTCTCCAGCCTGGGTGACG